CAGGTCAAGATAGACAATATCCTGCTAGCGGTGGATTTGGGCTCTAACCATTTCTTTTAAAAAATATAAAACTTATTCTATAAGTTTAATATAAAGTACCAAAGAAAAAATATGAGATTATTTCCTTTGGTTTTATGATGATGTGTAAGATCTCAAAACGAAACATTTCTTATAAAAATGTGAAAACTTTTACTTAGTAGACATGTTTTAAAACGGTGAAACTGACGACGATACGTAACGAGCTAAAGCGGACAATATCTGTTAGCGATGGACTTAGGCTATTACAAGTGGTATCATGTGCAAGACACTAGTCGAAATATGACTAAACCCTCTTTATAGTAGACGCGTTTTAAAACAGTGAGGCTAACGATGATATGTAACGAGTCAAGACGGACAATATCTGCTAGCGATGGATTTTGGCTCTTACAAAACTTATTCTATAAGCTTAATATAAAGTACGAACGAAAAAATATAAATTATTTTGGTTGGTTTTATGATGATGCTTCATAAAAACTTGACCAAAATGATGGGATTTTGTTTATGATTTATAATTAAAGAAAATTTTGGTAATAATTCAATATGAACACACATGTAAAAGCTCTCAATTTTCCTTTCAAGTGAAGCATGTCCTTGACCCTAAACAAACCTTCAATCAATGTGATGGATAGCTCATGATTGCTTGCACAAAAAACAATAAAATTAAATTCATGAGGTTTTTAAATTATCTAACCTTCACTTTAATTTAAATATACAATTTGTTTTATTTTAGCGATCGGGACGAGGCGTAGAATAGCTAATATACTTAGTTCAATGGACGAAGAAATTTGAACTTCTGACTTGTCTATCGAGTCAAATTGAGATTTATAGAGATAGAAAATGTGGCGTTCTGACGAATACTTTCCAATGATAAAACCAGTTTTTGTTAACTACACGAGAGCGGATGCAAAGGAGTTTTTCATATTTCTAACCCGCTCAAGAATTTAAAAATATAAGTAAAATAATTAAGAAGGAACTAACGATAACTAAATACTAAAATAGTTTAGGTTAGATTTAAAAACGCTACATTAATATAATTACGCTTAAACTTTAAAAGTTTCAAAAAACACGTTTGAACTTTTAACAGTGTTCTGAAAATACCCTTAAACTATAAAAAATTCGTTAACCTCTTCGATTTTTTTAAAAGTAATACTATGTTTATAAAAAAGTTTTTACGAAATTCATTTGTCTCTGTAACGCATAGTAAACAAAATATAAAATTAATCTAACGTGAATACTACATGAATAATAGTTTTTTTAATTAATAAATTAATAGTTGAATCACAATAATAACGGTGAATACTACATAAATAAAACAACGTCTGACGTAAATAAATTAGTTTAATTAACATAAAAAAAAATATTTGTGGTTACCGAAATGAAACAAATAAAATTAAGATATTAAACCCATTGAAACTTAAAATGGAATAAAGATTTTTTTTTCCGTCTTTGAAAATGAAATTTAGAAAATCTCTCTTTTAAGCAGGGTAGGACTGAGTGTATCAAAGAATTCTGCAGAAATAGGTACAGAAAATATAATTCTCGTCCCCGACTTCATTTATCTAACGGGTAAAAATTTCTCTCTATTGTTTCCCTCATAAATCAGGAATCTCCGCCCCATTTGAAGTGGGTTGGAAATCCCGACCCGAGTTAAATATATAACTCTATGAAGTAAAAGGAGAAAAAAAATTAGGGTTTATTTATTTTATTGAAGAATATTTAAGGCTCTAATTTCTATGTGTTTGTTGGGAAGAACAAGACAAGGAAGTGGTTATTAGTTAATTACAAAGCCAAATGATTACATAATCCAACATGTTTTAATGCATAATAAGTGTGTGTAACTAACAATTAAGAATCGTATCTATCTAAAAAAGGAAAGTACAGATTTTATTGCATTCCAAATATTTAATATAATTTTTCAATTTTAATTTTCAAAAATCTATATAAGGAATGAAAATAATTCTTTTTTTTTTTCCTTTTTTTGTAATAATTGTAGTGTAATGCCTAATAAGAAAATATTTATTTTTAGAGATTAATTTAGATTTATTAAGTAAATATATTTTTGGTAAATTAGGTTTATAATTAAAATTTTAAAATTTGGATAAGAGATTTTTAGTTAGGTCTTAATTTTGACATTTTGAAACTTGAATTTTTAATTGGATTTTAGTTTAAGTAAAATAAAAATAAATAAAACTCGAACCTAATTTGGAGTTTAATTTGAATTATAAGTTTAAGAAGAGGAAAAAAATGGCTTTCAGTCATAGCTTCACTGATCGATGTCTCAACTAATCACTAGTCGCATCCTGCTTATCCCAACCCTTCCCATATTCTCAACTCCATTTGGGACAATCCCGACATCTCTACCCTATCCTAGCTGCATTTTCCACGTATTTTAGCTTTAAAATGCTTCGTTCTCTTAACCTATGAGAATCTTCATAGTCGTGTTTGTCTCCTATTTGACGAGCTTCTACATTGACCAACACGTTAATTGGCCAAAAATCAAATTACACAATCCGTCCTTGCTCAAATATGAGAATTAAGCCTTTTCAACTACCAATAATGTAATGACCTGTTTTTATTATTAAAATAAATTAATTTATGAATATTCATATAAAAACGGTGTCATGGACATAGACATTCACAAAATTTGATTCGGATCAAAAGTAAACGTCAATAGAATAATGAAATTGAAGTAACATTAATATAAAAGAAATGCATACGCCCTGATCTAGCCTAAGGGCTACAACTTAAATGAGAATGCAATTATCTTGACTTTGTTTTCATGGCTTGCACAGTGACGCCTTCATCGTACATGGGTGTCTTACTACGTGGCTTAAATGTTTAAAAATATTCAGTAAGTATACCCATTGTTGGAGATAGGTAATGCAATCACATACGAACATGGTAGAATCTATCTTTTCATAAAAATATCATTGTCTTGGGCTCTACTTTCCAGTCTAGGTAGGGTTGAAAGTGTAGCATTTCTCTACACACAACTCATGCACGTGCACATGGACCTATCAGGCAGGCTCATATACGTACACCTAAGCTTGACTATGGGTTAGCGCACACTCACCCATACACATGACATACAAAGTCTCGTAGTTTCAAATCATGACATATACTTGTGATGCAAATCATACCTCCATTCATAGTTAACATTACATATATTGGACTTATCTTTCATGGTTAACATACATGGCTTATCAATGTTCATAGGTATAGAGTGGATATGCTAACATAATGTAGTCTGATATGTGGAGGTTCATTGCATCATACAAACACTAATATCACCACGTAATTTTATAACATAGCATAAATTGTCACATAACATATCATATATCAAATATCATAACATCACAAAATATGACACGTACAGGGGCCACAAGATACGTGTCATTCGTATAATATACAAGTCATTCAACCAAGCCCTTGGGCGTCCAACCGTAGAACCACTTACTTGGTTGACCTACGCCTTGTCACTACACTCCTTTAATGTTAACTTAAAACTATTCCTTAAAACCTAATTCCGCCTAAGGAGTCCCACGACCATAATTTAGCTCCAAATAATTTAAATCTAAACTTAACTTCAAATGAGTTAAATTGGCTACAGTTGTTATACTGGCCTCAAATGTCTTCGAAAGTGTTAGAAACGGTTCTCGAAGAGAGTCCAAAACTATCAAACCTGAGCTGAATGAGTTGAGAGGATGAGCTGGAGCCGTCAGAACATGTAGTCTCTAACTAACTTCAAATAGTCAAAGATGGATGAAACGAAACAATTGTTGTGACTTAGTAAGACAAAAGTGCTCTCTTTTATACTAGAGTCCAACTCTCCGACTTTTTCAATCTAATTGATTTGGGATAACTTCTTTTTTTTTTTTTTCTCGTTGTTACTAATCAACAAGTGTTCGAAGTTGATTGGGCGTTTTTTATGTTTGACATCTCTTCTTTTTCTAGATGATTTGACTACAAGAATGTACATGGAGTCAAATGCATGTAATTACACCTCTCCATTTTAAAAAGAATTTGATCAATTGCATCATAAAATAAACTTTGCCACTTCATCACACGAGTTTTTCGATTTTATTGAAGGGGTTACCTTTCTCCTATATGGGGTGAGATGTACGTTCGAGCGAAACCTATCTCAAACGTGGAGCATCGGCTCCCATCATACCAAATCATTCAATGTAATCTAATAAACATGCCAACAACGGTTATGAAGTAATTTAACAATCAAAATAGTATTTTTGATCTAACAAATGTCATCGTGATCCTAGGTTTAAAAGACATCATTTTGATTCAGTTTGTAGGTTGACATTTTTTGGTCGAGTCAACCCACCAAATAGAGTTACAATCCAACTCTACCCTACTTTTTAAATGTCATGAATATTTAACCTTTGCAACCAATTTTAGCAATACACTTTGGCTTGATAATACCAAATTTAATTATTAACCTAAGAAATACGTCAGTTTTTTTTAAATAATTAAAAAAAAAAAAACCTGATATCTAATCCAACCTAACCACTTAAAATAGAAAGCTCGGTTGTGAACTCTATTTGAGTTAGTTGAAGTCACGAACTCAATTAACCCAAAATTCCTCATAGTCAATTAATTTTATCTTAAAAGTAGGAGGAGACGAGTTAAAACTCTGCAACAGTGAGATAGATTTACCTATCTAGTATATCAATTTAAACATATACCTATATAATATATCAATTTAAACATAGTTCAATCGATTAATAATTAATAAATATATTTAGTAAGAACAATGAAAACAAGGAATGAGTTAGTTAAGACATATATTATCGATCATTCACTACCAGATAGGAAAATAAATAAATAACAAAATGGGACAAAATTTTGTTGGGAGGGAAGTGTCGAGGAAAGGGACATAAAATGGGATTTTTGACTCTTTGAACTTTCCTTTAAAGAAAAGAGGAAAATGGAAATGAATTCCATCCATGGTGGTGGCTTTCATTACACACGCCAATTTCTTCCCTTATAAACTCCCTTCTTTCCCATCACTCCATTTTATTATCTCCTCAAAACCAAAAACAACAACAAAAAAAACCCCTTTCTCCTTCTTCTTGTTCTTCCTCTTCTTCTTCTTCTTCCGATTTCCCCATACCCATCTCGATTTTCGCCTCCCCTTCATCAATTTCCCTCGAATTTTGCTTTAATTCGAATCCCGATCTTGAATCCCCCAATACCCATTTCGTGTTTTCGTTGATTTCTTCAAGATCGTCGTTCATTCATGGGAAATTGCTGCGCTGCCCCACCTCGGGACCATGAGGACCTGAGAAAAGGAAAGAGGAAGAAGAAGCCGAATCCCTTTTCAATCGATTACGGCGTTAACCACTTAGCCGCCGGCAACGCCGGCAACGGCGGCAGCCATAAGCTCACCGTTTTGACCAACCCCACCGGTCGTGAAATCGGGCTTCAATACGAACTGGGTCACGAGCTTGGCCGTGGGGAGTTTGGAATAACGCATCTATGTACCGATAAGGTCACCGGAGAGAAGTTCGCTTGTAAATCGATTTCCAAGAAGAAGTTGAGAACCGCCGTGGATATTGAGGACGTGCGGCGGGAGGTTCAGATTATGAGGCATTTTCCGAAGCATCAGAACATTGTTAGCTTGAAGGATACGTTTGAAGATGATAGCGCTGTTCATTTGGTTATGGAGCTTTGTGAAGGAGGTGAGCTGTTTGATCGGATTGTGGCTCGTGGACACTACACTGAACGTGCTGCTGCTGTTGTTACAAAGACCATTGTTGAAGTTGTTCAGGTAATTGCTTAACTAAAAGCTTTGGAGCTGTTATTTGTATGCTATGATAGCTGAGGTTCTACCCTGTTTAGATATCTTGTTCGTGTTCTATGTGACTGGTTTTGGATATGGATTATATGCTGTAGAGACTGAGAAATGATTAGCATAACTTAGAAACTTGAGGACGTCTAGTTTGACTTCAGGCTCGTTCCCTCTTGAATCGGTGTGAGACTCCCAATCCATTCTCCTTTGGGGGCCAGCATCCTTGGTGGCACACCGTCTAGTGTCCATTCCTTTCGGGGTTCGGCCTTCTCACTAGCACATCGCTTGGTGTCTAGTTTTGATACCATTTGTAATGGCCACTACTAGTAGACATTGTCCTCTTTGGACTTCCCCTCAAGGTTTTAAAATGCGTATGCTAGGGGGAGGTTTCCACACCCTGATAAAGAATGCTTCGTTCCACTCTCCCACCGATGTGGGATCTTTGGGGCCGAGCATCCTCACAGCCACACCATCTGGTGTCCACCCCCTTCCGGACTTAGCTTCCTCGATTTGTTACAGCCATCACTAGTGGATATTGTCTTTTTTGGGCTTTCCCTTTCGAGTTTCCCCTTAAGGTTTCTAAAACGCGTCTATTAGAGGGAGGTTTCCACATCCTTGTAAAGAATGTTTCGTTCTCCTCTCCAATTGATGTGAGATTTGACAGTTATTCTTGTTACTTACTGCTTTTTCTCATGGTTCAGATGTGTCACAAGCATGGCGTTATGCATCGGGACCTAAAACCCGAGAACTTTTTGTTCGGAAACAAGAAGGAAAACGCACCATTGAAGGCAATTGATTTTGGACTGTCAGTGTTCTTTAAACCTGGTATGCTCTCTGATTGTCCCTTTGCTTTCTCATTTGTAGCATATGGTTTCCCTTGTTCATGACTGAATCCACCGACCCGCTCGGGCTTCTTCAGGTGAAAGATTCAACGAGATCGTTGGAAGTCCGTATTACATGGCTCCTGAGGTTCTAAAACGGAACTATGGCCCCGAAGTAGATGTCTGGAGTGCTGGAGTTATACTCTACATTTTGCTTTGTGGTGTCCCTCCATTTTGGGCCGGTAAGTATTAAGTAGCATTCATGCTTGTGTGAGATCCCATATCGGTTCGATTGGAGAACGAAGCATTGCTTATAGGAGTGTGGAAACCTCTCTCTAATAGACGTGTTTTAAAACCGTGAGGCTGATGGTCATACGTAACGGGCCAAAGCGGACAATATTTGCTAGCGGTGGGCTTGAGCTGTTACTAATGGTATCAGAGCCAGACACCGGGTGGTATGCCAGCAAGGACGCTGGGTCCCCAAGGGGGGTGGATTGTGAGATCCCACATCGGTTGGAAAGAGGAACAAAGCATTACTTATAAAGATGTGGAAACCTCTCCCTAACAGACGTATTTTAAAACTGTGAGGCTGACGATAATACGTAACGGGCCAAAGCAGATAATATCTGCTAGCGGTCGGCTCGGGCTGTTACAGCTTGTTTGTTGTGTATGTTCTGCTTAAGCTCATTAAACTTGTATCATCTCTACGCAGAAACCGAACAAGGAGTTGCACAAGCAATCATACGATCGGTTATCGATTTCAAGAGAGATCCTTGGCCTAAAGTTTCAGATAATGCAAAAGACCTCGTGAGAAAGATGCTCGATCCTGATCCAAAGCGGCGGCTAACTGCACAAGGAGTGCTCGGTAACGGCTCGACCTTAAAACGTACTCACTTTCTCTTGGAATCGGCCTTATAACATGGTTTTGGTTGTAAAATGCAGATCATCCATGGCTACAAAATGTGAAGAAAGCTCCTAATATCTCCTTGGGAGAAACGGTGAAGGCAAGACTTAAGCAGTTCTCTGTGATGAACAAGCTGAAGAAAAGAGCTCTAAGGGTAATTGCCGAGCACTTGTCGGTCGAGGAAGTCGCCGGTATAAAAGAGGGATTCGATAAGATGGATACGAACAATAAAGGAAAGATTAACATAGACGAGTTACGAGTAGGTTTACAAAATTTAGGCCATCAAATTGCTGATGCAGATCTTCAAATTCTGATGGAAGCTGTAAGTTCGAGTACATATTTTAACTTTTCGAGTTCACTTTCTTTCTCGACGTATGGAACTAATCTGTAGTTACGTTTTTACAGGGCGATGTAGACAAGGACGGTTATCTCGACTGTCGAGAATTCGTAGCGATTTCGGTTCATCTTAGGAGAATGGGCGACGACGAAGAGCATCTAAGAAAAGCCTTCGATTTCTTTGACCAAAACCGGAGTGGTTATATAGAAATTGAAGAACTACGAGATACCTTAGCCGATGAGATCGATGGAAATAGTGAAGAAGTGATTAACGCTATTATTAACGATGTTGACACGGATAAGGTCGGTAACGTCTTTCATTTAATACTTCAGTTACTGGTCTATGGAATTATGTAGACATAGATAACTGCCCCGGTCCCCTAAAACTTATGGGAATAGGGTTACTTAAGAATATGTGGTAGGTCTAACTTTTCAGCCACCTTTATCATTTAATCTTTGATATTATTGAGTTTGAAAACTCGGGCGCTTTGGTTGTTTGTTAACATCGGAAAACGACTGAAACGACAAATAGAAGAACTTTTTTCCATGGCACATGATTTTCGGTGTAACAGCCCAAGCCCACCGCTTATAGAAAATCATGTGCCATGGAAACCTCTCCCTAGCAGACGCGTTTTAAAAACCTTGAGGGGAAGCTCGAAAGGGAAAGCTCAAGGAGGACAATATCGGCTAGTGGTGAGCTTGGGCTGTTACAAATGGTATTAGAACTAGCCAGCGAGGACGCTGGGGCCCTAAAGGGGAGGTGGATTGTGAGATCCCACATTAGTTGGAGAGGGGAACGAAGCATTCTGTAACGACCCAGATCCACCGCTAGCAGATATTGTTCTCTTTGGGCTTTCCCTTTCGGGCTTCCCCTCAAGGCTTTAAAACGCGTCTGCTAGGGGAAGGTTTCCACACCCTTATAAATGGTGGTTTGTTCTCCTCTCCACCAATGTGGGACATCACACATTCTTTGTAAGAATGTGGAAACCTCTCCCTAGCAGACATATTCTAAAAATCTGGAGGGAAATCCCAAAAGAGAAAGTCGAAAGAGGACAACATCTGCTAGCGGTAGGTTTGGGTTCGGGTTGTTATAGCTTTAGCCGGTTACATATTGCGTCAGCCTCACCGTTCTAAAAATGCGTCTATTATAAGAAATGGGCCATTTCCCTCTTTAAACGACATGGGATCCATTCAGTATCTGTTCTTGCAATACTTCTCTACTAACTCAAGCATTCATGCAGGACGGGCGAATAAGCTACGAGGAATTCGCAGCGATGATGAAGGCAGGCACAGATTGGAGGAAAGCGTCGAGACAGTATTCTCGAGAGCGGTTCAATAGCTTGAGTCTGAACTTGATGAGAGATGGATCATTGCAGTCAAAACAAGGAGAAGATAGATGATTTCTTCACAAACAATCACTCATTCATTCAAAGGAGAACTTAAAAATCTTTGGGTTACTTCCATAATTCTTTGTTTCTTTCAATTTTCTTCTCCCTCTTCTGCTTCTTCTTTGTTCTTCAAAGGATATAAGAAGGTGGGAGTTTTGATGCATTTCTGGATTTTGTTGTCCTTTTGAATGTAAATATCTGAAACTTAGCACTTGAAGGAGCGTTTATCGTGTTCTTGTTTACGTTCAAATTTTACCTGACTGTTTATGAGTAGAGATGTTCACGAGACGAGATAACGAAGCCCTTTCTCGTGGGTAACTTTTCCTTCGATATTGTTTCTATTAAAAGTATAGAACAATCTGATAATATTTTATAAGCAAAAATATAATATAATGTTCCACGTCATTTCCAAAAACTCAAATTTTAATGTTACAACATAGTCTTTCACTTTATTTATATATTATAGATGGAGACTTGGGCGAGGTCGGGAGGATAGGAATTGAAAATATAATTTACGTCCTCGTCCTTGGCCCTGTTTAGATAACAGGAAGAAATCTCTTCATTCTCCACTGTGTTTGGGGCCAGTATCTGCAAGTTAAATGAACATATTTATTTACGAGAGGAATCTAACTTTTAAATGATATAAACTAAAATTTGAGTCCGTTTGTGGGTTGACCTTTTTTTTATATCCACAAAGGTCGAAAATTGTTGGGTTGAACTTTTTAAAAATCGAAAATTCGAGTTAGTTCGAGGGTTGACATTTTTTTAGTTGGTTCAACCCGACCAACCAGAAAATAGATTACAACCCAACCCTACCCAACTATTAAGATTATTTTAAAAATTAAGAATAATTGACGTTTGTTAACATTTGCAACTGATGTTAGTAATGTGTTGTGATTTGTGAATATTTGAGTTCTACGATATTTTAGTTATTAATATAATATGCACGGTGAATATGTATGATTTTTTTTTTTAAAAAAAACAACTTGACAACGTAACTCAACCCAAAAATTGGTTGGGTTAGGTTGTTAACTCTATTCGGGTCACTTGGTTCACTCGGTTCACTACCCCAACTAACTCAAAATTTTGGACTGGTCCAAAAGATTTCTCCAACCTAATTTGTGTACACTTCTACTTAGAGTTTCTTCTCAATAGCTTTGAGGTTTGTTGCAAAAGGAAACCGAGTTTCTCAAATAATGTGGAAATAGGATAGTTTAATGATCGTTCTTATTGTTAAAAAAATTATTTGGTCTAATCAGAGGTGTTCACCTACCCGGTGACCTACCAATTATAGAAATAGGATCTGTGGCAAGCAATAAGCACTTAAATAATACAATTCGAGTGTACCATCTTTTTTCTCATTTCGAAGAAATGGTGCAGGAGGAAAAGGAAACAACGGAGGGATCCGAATCAGACCTAAATGGGAATGACATGAAAAATCTTTTTCAAAACCTAGCATTAAGGGCACTACGATGATATACGAGAGAAATGGAGGGGAACATCCGTTTATGATATAGTGAAAAAAAAAAAGTCGTCTCATTTCCGGACCTCTTCGTTCTATCAAATTCATTCACTTCAAGGCTGGTTCTGAACGCCCCGTAACATCATCTTCAACCAACCTCCACTGCCTTGTCTTATTCTGTCATTTCGGTGCGTTCACTAAAGAATTGGTTATACACTAAATAGCTGCAACTATACGCTTACTAAAAGATTGACTTAGGCCAACGTGAAACTAAGAGAGAGATGTGTCTAAAGTGACCTTAAATTGGCCCAAATTTGTGGGTAACAGATGGCCCAATTCTTAAGAAAACAAGGCCCAACCCGATCGAGAAAATATTAATAAATCTTAATATTAAGAAATATTAAGATTGTACAATCCTTTTTTTTTACGTGCTTAACGACGGGTATTTTTTAAACAAATTACTAACGGTTTCCATTCATGTATCGATGGTTTATCATAATTGAAATTCATTTGAAGTACAACACTATTGTAACGATAATGTATTATATTTGTGTTTGTAGGGATAATCATGCTGAAATGACCCGTTGAGAGGACGATGTGAGTGTGAACATTGAGGACAAACATTTTAAAAGGACCTTATTGAGGACGTGTAGTTTGTTCACACTCACATCACACTGTGAACAAGTGTTGGTATAGGTAACATGTGTTCACACTTGTCGGTATAGGTAACATTTGTTCACACGCACACTCACACGTTGAAATCATGTTAAATGTTTCCAACAATGTGCCTAGAAACAGTGAGGACAAATACGTTGAAATGATATGCATTGGTCTGTAGGGATAGTCTTCAATCTTATAAGCGAGAAGTAGATAATGTGACTATGTCGCATGGATGTAATGAAATTTTAGAACCATCAGTTGCCGAATCTTAATCCAAATTCTGGGCATGAACCAATACGTAAGTTGGTGGGCATGTGACACTCGAGTAAATGAAGGGTACATAAATAAACCAAAACCACATCTGAATGAAAACGATTCTCAGGATAGGATGACTAAGAAAGACTTAAGTGCATCTTTCTTTCCGGTAGCATAGGAACTTCATGATTAAGCGTGTTCTGCTTTTAGTAATTTTATATCGAGTGGTCTCCAAGGAATTTTTCTAAACCCTAATGTTCGATTATGTCTTTTTTTATTATTATTATTATTCTAACGTAAAACTTCTACCGGCGAAAATGAACCCAAACTCATCCATATTTAAGACTAAGATTTCAAACAACATTTGATAAGAATATCAAATAAATTGGCGTTATCAAAAATCATCGATCATGTAATTATTTAAATAAGTTCACGATAAACATGATATATCAGCATCGTTCTAAACTAAATCCAAACATCTCAAGAAATCCGAAAAACAAAAATTCCGAGTCATTGAATCAAAATATTTATTTATTATTATTATTATTTTTTGGATAATCTAATCTTGAAGATCCATGAACATGAACTCTTCCAAAAATAATAATAATAATAAAATGAAAATATCTTGGGTGTTAGAATTATTGAGATGATATAATTAATGTAATGGAATGGAGGTACATGATTTGCCACGTGTCAACTCATGCGAGGAAGAAAATGACACAACCAATTAATTATATAAAAAAATTCAAATAAATCCATAAATATTTTTAAAAATTCAAAAATATATTTTAAATTATTAGTTTTTTTTTAAATAATTTTAAATTTAAAAAAAAAATTATTATTACTCTTCAATTTTTTTAAAAGGAATATTTTAAAGCAACATTAACACCATTTTATAAAAAAATTATCCTCAATACTCGAGTAAGTGATCAAGAACGATGACTAAGTTAAGTGGGGGAGAATGTCAGAACCATACTATGAGGAGAGTAGGTTGTGACCCTCATGCCATGACAAGCAAAGTAGCGTCCCTCAAGAGACACCCATCCGGCCACATGCGGGCCAATATAGAAGAGTGTCATGATGTGATCGAGGAGGACGATGCATCATCCAACACACCACCACGCAAAGTGGGCATTGAAGACAAGTTGAGACATAAGCAAGACAGAGACATCAGAATAGACATGAAGGACAAAGATAGGCTTGTTGAAGGCCCGAGTAAATCGTCTATCGACGCCTTATGAATTATCTTCAAAATTATTAAAAGTATTATTAAAACTATTAAAAATTTATGCACATTTCTCGTATAAAGTGCAATGTTTAGGGTTTAGGGTTTACACTAAACCCTAAACCCTAAATATAATAAACGTTGACATGTGTGAACCATGCAAATGTAACATGTGTCGTCGTGTATGATATACCTCCTTGTGATTGAGTCGTACCAATACGTGTAGTAATCAGACACAGTTGACCTATTTATTATAATGTATAACAATATTCAATCAATATGGAAACTCGTCATATGATTTCTCCCGATCACCAAAAACTTTAATTAATAATTTCCGTTTCGTTTACCAACATGTTGTAGTTCACACAATACCCATAGTTTTCCGATAGTTTCTTGCATCAAAGCTATGGAATCACTAGGATTCCGTCAAATATTTATTTTAGTTTCACTATACATAAAATATGAGTCAAGTTGTAACCGCTCAAATCCACCGCTAGCAGATATTGTCTATCTTGATCCGTTACGTATTGTCGTCGGTCTCGTAGTTTTTAAAACGCGTCTTTCCAATACAAAAATAATAATATTATTATTATTAATATAAAATAATAAAAATAAACCGATGAAACGAAAGACAAAGAGGGCCGACATTTTAAATATGGATCCCCACGTGGCGCTAGATTATTGAACAGAATTTATTTATTTATTTATTTATGTTTTTTTTTTTGTCTCTTTCTATTTTAATTATTTTAATGTACGAAGGATTTGCTTTTCTTTTACCAATTTTGTAAATTTAAATTTAAATTTAATAATTATTTATAAAAATTAATAATTTTAGATATTTTAAATTATATCTTAATATAATATTTGTATGTTTTAACACTTTTGTTGATAAAGTTTATAATTAAATAATTAAATGTAAGAAAATAAATTGATGTAATCATAAGTTATTATTTAATATAATTAAATTAATTAATTACTTGATCGATTCAAATGAAAACAAATAAATTTTCTTACATTAAATTATTAAAAGTAATATCCATACTTAAACCATTTAATTTAATTACTAAAAATTATAATAATAAAACAAATCATATTAAATAGTCAGCATAATAGAAAATACTCAGTAAGTGACCAGTCGGAGAATGCAAACACATACAGAATGAAGGGACGTATCATTTAAAATCATCTTCTCTTAAGTGGCTTTCTAGTCCGGGCAAATTGGGTGTAGTATTTCTCTATACATGACCCACACGTGTGAGCGTGGGCTCACCAGGCGGGTTCGTACACCCCCTAGGCCTATTGGTCTGGCAAGCTTCTCTGGGCTATTGTCAGATGTCACGGTCATGCTTGAAAATGCGATTGTGACACCTGACACCCAAAGGGAACAACGACTGTTGTAGCATCATGGTAAACATGATGATCATTTTAGTCTCATAGTGTAAACGTTCGTACTCATCATAAAGAGAAGTATTCTGATGCACGTGAACATACAATTATGCATGAGACACTCATATTTTTCATGGTGTCGTAATAAATCATGCAAGACAACCCCTATTCTTTCATCACGTATTATACTCGGTAGTATGTGTACATAACCACTTATAAAAGTCATTTCATTCATAACATAACTTTCAAATCATGACATAGAGGTTGTGCACCGTAGATTTCCTTATTTCAAAACATATCATAGCATGTCGTAACATATCATGACCTAACACAACATATCAT